GGCTGCAGTCACCCTTCCCTGCACCAGGACGCGGGGCTGTGCGCAGGGCCCGCAGCCACACTTGGCCACCACCTTGATGGGAAGGACGGACCCAGCGCAGCGGATCTCCCGCATCTCCATGCGCCGGACCCCGCAGCAGCGCCGTGCGCCTGCCCCGCACCGCTGCCCATCGGCCGGGCTGCCAGCACATGGCGTGGATGGGCAGTGCCCCACGTCGTAGTAGCGGGACCCACCGGCATCCTGATGGCACTCAGCGGGCAGCTCAACCAGGCTGGGTTCTGGTGCTGCTTTGCAGCTCTGCTGGCCCTGGGCTGGAGGAGAGGGTAAAGAGGGGTTAAGGGTCCCTATTCCATAGAGATCCCGTGCTCCCAGTGCCCCTGCCCCACGTAGACCCCATCCCCGCTCACCCAGCATGGTGAGCTGTGCTGGTGCAGATCGGATGGCTCCAGCCTCGGAGCTGGCCTTGCAGTGATAGGTGCCTGCCTGCTCCAGTGTCAGCGCCCGCAGCACCAGGCGGCTGCTGTACCGGTGTGCTGTCCTGTCCAGCAGTGTCCCGTTGTGGTACCTGCAGGGAAGGGATGCAGTGAGTGGGGATGCAGCGGGTGCTCCCCGTCCCCTCTGCCCACACCCACTCACCAGTAGTACTTCTTGGGCACGGGTGTCCCCGAGGCTTTGCAGCAGAAGGTCACCTCCTGCCCGGCCACCCGCACCTTCGGCGTGGGGTGCAGCACCATGTAGGGCTTCTCTGCAGGGGAAGGACCGGAGGGTGCAGCTGTGAAGCCCTCCCTGCTCCCCTCATCCCTCCATGGCACATCCATGGGGCGCAGTGCTCACCCAACTTCTGCAGCACGATGTGTGCCACCAACAGTCCGGTGCCGTTGGACACAACAGGTGCCAGTCCTGGAGCAAAGCCGTCACGGTGGGCGCTGACATTTGCACCGATGTTCACACACAGCCCGGTCACACGAAATGCCCCACGTGTGTCACTGCGTGCCAGCAGTGCCGGCGGGCGTCCCTCCAGGTAGACACGGGCACCGGGCAGCGCTGCACCAGTGGCGGAGGCGACAGTGCCCTGCAGGGTGCGCTCGGGGCAGGCTGCGGGACGGCACGGCGCTCAGAGCTCACGGCCACCGGCACCAGCGGCGACAAGCCGGGGTGGGGGGGGGACAGGGATCAGCATTTCCGCGTCCCCAGGGCAGGTACCTGGGCAGGGCGTGGGGGGACACTGCTGCACCTCGGAGGGGTGCCCGGCGCACAGCAGCTTCCGGGCGTTCTGGCAGCTCCGCCGGCGGACACGCGTCCCGGTGCTGCCGCAGCTGCGGGAACAGGAACCCCACGCGCCCCACTCCGTCCACATCGGCTCTGCAGGGAGACGGCGAGGCGTCGGGCAGCAGCACTGCCCATCCGCAGCACGGCGACGGGAGATGCAGGCAAGGCGGGGTCACCACCCCACGAAGCCCCATGCGGCTGCCGTGCCCCGTGCAGCCCCCCGGCTCGGCCCCCCAACCCCCAGCCCGGCCCCCCGGCCCCTGCCAAGCTATTTTTATAAGCGCAGCCTCTGTGATTGCCATTAAGCCGACGATGTGCGGGCGGGGGCACTGCGCCCGGGGCGTGCCGCGTGGACGCGGAGGCGGCCGCTGCACGGATGCGGCCCCGCAGGACGACCCGTGACCCCGCGTGGGGCTCGGAGCCGGCGGGGGCGGGGGAGGGGGGCGTGCAGGGGAGCGCTGAACCTTCACCAGCAGAGCCAGAACGGGAGACCGCAGCCCAGCACCGACATTCCTGCGGCCGGGGAAGGGCCGCCGCTTGGCTCCGCCGCCGTCTCCTCCATCTCTTTAGGAACAGGAGGCGGCAGGTGGAGCCGTGGGAGTGGGGTCGGATCCGTGCGTGGGGAGAGGGGGGGGTCTGTACCTGGGCAGGGCCCGGTGCTGCACGGCCGCCGTTCCACCGCCTTGCCTCTGCACTTGAGCTCCTTCAGCGCGGTCACCACCTGCGCGTTGACGCAGCGGCGACGGCGGCTCTGGACCCCGCTGCTCCCGCAGGCGCTCCGCGAGCAGGGGCTCCAGGAGGACCAGTGAGACCAGTAGATGTGCTCTGGGGGGGGGCAGAGGGGGTGACTGAGTGGGGCAGGTTGATGGGAACCCACCGCCCCGGAACCAACTCCCCACCAGCACTTCTCCCTTGGGATGGTGCCGTCCGAGGACGATGGGCTCGGACCCCCCCCGAGGTGCCGTCGGGGCCGGGGTCGGCACTCACCCAGCGGGCAGAGGAAGCGGATGTGGTAGTTGGAACAGGTTTTGCCCTGCGGCTGCTCCTTGTTGACGCACCGAAAGCCCTTCTTGGGGCTGAAATGCACCACCTCGCCCACGTCCTGGGGCAGCTCCCACTCGGTGGTGCGCGCCTGGATGGCCACCGGCCGCGCGCAGACGCGTCCGCGGTAGTAGAAGCGGATGGCATCCAGGCTCTCGTAGTCGCCGTCCCCCCCGGGGTGGTCGATGTTGAACCACGACGTCCATTCAGCCCCTCCGCCTGTACGGAACCCCCCATGAGAGCACAACCCCCTTCCCTGAGCGCACAGATGTGGCCTCGGGTGCCATCGGGGATGGGGAAGGGGCAGGGACATCCCGGTACGGCTCCGTGGGGACAAATGGGGGCTGCAAGGGGAAGGATGAGCAGACACAAGCAGCGGGTGCTGTGACATGGAGAGCCACCACAGCCCTACTGCAAGGGGACAGTGCCATGGAAAAGCGTGATGTCCCCAGGGGGACACGGGGGGGGGGCACTGCACTGCGCAGCCCCTTCGGGTGCTACAAGTAGAAATGAAGTGTCCCTGCACTGCCCTGGCTGTGAGTCCCCCATGGTGTGGTGTCCTCAATGGCACAGTGTCCCCACTGTTTTGGTGTCCCATGGTGTGGTGCCCCACAGAGACTCAGGGGCTGCTCTGTGATTCTGTGGTCCTACCTGCTGTGTCCAGGTCGAGTTCCTCTGGGCTGGGAACTTTCCAGGGCTTCCCCAGTGCATCGCTCTTGCCAGGTTCCAAGTCGTTCTCCAGTGACTCTGCTGGGGGCACAGGGTGAGAGCTCCCAACACTGGCTCACCCCATCCCCAAAGTTGTCACTGAGCCACAGACATCAATGTTGTGCTGTAAATCACATCCTTCTCCAGGCACGGGGCAGGTGGGGGGCATGGGGAAGGGTTTGGTGGTAGTGGAGTAGAGGCTGCATGCTGGAAATGCTGCCCCAGGGTGATGCAGGGTGTTGAGCTGCCTCGCTGAGGCCACGATATGATCAGCCCCCAAGCAACCAGAGCAGACACAGCAGGAAATTGGGCTGTAGCACTGCAGCCTGGGGCTGGGTGAGCAGGAAAGCAGGTGGCACGGTGGGGATTCATTGCCTGAGTCCCCCCACAAGGGGTCAGCTCAGGACATCCCCCCTTGCAGGAGCTGGGTGCAGTAATGGGGATTTCAGCCATGCAAAGGGCACCGAGCAGTGGGATGGAGAAATGGATCCACGGAGAGGAGCTGGGATGTGCGGGGATGTCTGTGGGACGACGACCAAAGGGAAGAGCTGATGGACCCAGAGCAGCCCGGGGAGGTCTGCAGTGAGCTGATAAGTGTGCCCTATGGATGGCTGTCACCCCAGGCAGGATATAGCCACAAGGATCATGAGCACATGGTGGGTACCCCATGGGGAGCATCCCTCTGCCAGCTGCAATGCCACCCCTGTCCCCATCCTCTGGGGACACAGCAGAGCCGGGTGGCAGAGCGCAGCCAAGCAGCGGGGACTGCAGCCCCTTGTGCTGCAGGGTGGGTGGATTTTCCCCCATGTCCTGTCCTTGGCAGGGGGCACTTCCCCGGCCCCCCCCCGGGGAGGACGAAGCACCTCAATGGGGCGGCACAGCCCTAAGCATCGCCGACACATCCTGCTCGCAGGAGGGACGTTCCCAGCAGCTGTCTGACATCTGGCCCCGGCAAACATCTGGCGAGCCCCGGGGCTGCCGTCCTTCCCAACACCACCCCCAACCCCCAGCCCTGCGCTGCATCACGACGGGGAGCAGGAGGGGCTTTCCCAGCCGTGTCCCTGGGATGCTGCTACGAAGGCTGAGATCTCCTTACCTGCTACCCCGGTGCAGCAAAAGGCGGCGAGAGCCAGGAGGGCCAGCAGGAGCCGCTCCATTGCTGCCCACGCACCGCTCCACCCGCGACTGCGAGCGCGGCCGCCTCGCAGGTCTATATAGGAGGGCTTTCCCCCTCGCGCCAGCAGACAGCAGAAATCGGATCCTGGCACTCAGGGCCGTCAGCTCCGCCGCGTTTGGCCCCGTGTCAGCAGGGAAGCGGGAAGGAGCCCTCAGCCCTCCCCGTGAGCCGGCCGCGCGCTGCCACGCGCCGCTCCAACCCGGGAAACTTGAGGGCTTGTTTTGCAAAGCTGCTAAAATTGGATGCACTTGGGAATGCAGCTGGGAGGGAAGGGGAAAAAAGATGAAAAAGGCCCTTCCTCTGAGCTCATGCGGTCAGGGTTGGGGTGCCAGCGCTCCCTGGCACTGCTGAGGATGGGCACGGCCGGTGGGTGCCCATGCTGTGACCTGGGCCACGTGTGCCGCTGTCAGCTGAGACTGCGAGCAACTCACTGCACCCATGGCCCCCAGCACCCCCCAGGGTAGGAGGGGAACACCCAGCAAAAGGCAGAGTGGGGCCATCGCCCCAAACTGTGGCTCCATCCCCACATCCCCCTGTTCCCCACATTCAGGTTCCCGGGACCGGGACTTCTGGGGTCACCCAATCCCCACATCATTCTGGGGCTGCAGATGCTTTCTCCCCATCAGCTGGCACAGGCAGAGGCAGCCCCAGCGCTGCCTCATCGCCATCCTCACCATTAATCAAAACCTGGGCTTGTTTAACCCTGTACCAAAGGGCTGCACTCAAAGCCACACCACGGGGACAACGCACCACGGATACCAACGGGACCCACAGAGCCCACCCCATGCAGACACCGAGCCAGCAATCCCAGCACTTTATTGAGAGGCACTCAGGTCCACCACGCATTCAGTGCCCGGGTACTCGGGAGGGTTGAGCTCAAACTTCTTCTGCACGTCGTAGGGCACGAAGCGGCCGGCCACGAAGTGCTGGCGGCCCAGGAAGCGGCGGGCGCATTGCTTGGGGGCCATCAGCGACACCAGCACGTCAGGGCTGATCCCACCACTGCTGCCCGCCTCCACATCCCACCCTGCAATGGCACAGAGATGTGGGGAGGGGGTCAGGTGGGAACAGGGGGGGGTGGTGGAGGTACGGGGATGGGGCTGGTGGGATCCCCGTGGCACCCATAAGAACTGCTGCCCTGCAGTGCCCCAGCTGCGTCCTGGCACAGTGTGGGGTTGTGCTTGGTGGGAATTCACCAGCAGCTGTGCCCAGGGCTTCTGTTTGCTCCTCCAGAAGCAGGGGGGGTGTGGGGGGGTGATGGCAATTCCAGGCCTGGCCACCAGACACCCGGGTGTTTGCAAATTACATCATGTCTCAGTTCGGGGAGTTGGTTATTTGTTGGAGATGCCCTAAATGCATCCTCAGCCGTCAGCAGCACTCAGAGCGAACCGCAGGGACGCTGCTGTGCTGGGGGCTGTGGGAGTCCCAGAGCTGCCCCCACATCTCCTACACTGGGGATGACACCTTTTCTAGGGGCAGATAGGGTGAAAAAGCTACCCTGGGGGTCCCCGTACCTGAGGGCACATCCAGGCTGACAATGGGGATGCGGACGTGTTTTAGGGTGGCAAGGATGCCAGCACAAGGCCCCCTGCCCTCACCCAGCTCCGCTTCAGCCCCCAGCACTGCATCCACCACCGCGTTGTAGGCATCGTTGATCAGCTGCACCTGGAGGGGGGGACACGATGGGCAGATGGGGGGGTCCCCAAGCTCCCCAGACCCCCATCCACCCAACCCCAGAGCATGGAAACGCTGCCCATGGGGGGCATCCCTTTTCCCAGCTGAATGGGATGCGCAAAGCAATTGCAAAAGTTCCCCCCACCAGGCAAAGGGAGGGGGACGTAGCGCGGCCAGGACAGCGATTTGAGGTCACATTCCTCCTCCGAGGGAGACCAACACTTCCAACAACAACAGCAGCCCCTGAGCTATGGGCAGGGCCAGCAGCAAGCATGGATCTCATCCCCGTGGATGCTGGGGGAGATCAGCATCCTCATAACACCCCAAAGCGCAGCAGTTTGGGACTGTGGGTGGGGGGCTCACCTCGGTGGGGAGGTACGAGAGGAAGGGGATGTCCATCTTCTCACACTGAGTGGTGAAGTCCCGGTACAGGGGGTCCAGGGAGCGTTTAGGGTAGAAGATGGTGGGCTCATAGTCCTGCACAGCAGAGCAGTGTTGGACCCATGGAGGAGGAGGAGGAGGAGGAGGAGGAGGAGGGGGAGGAAGAGATACCTACAAAGATGCGCAGGTGCCGCGCGCACACCAGCCCGATGGCCCCGTTCTGTGCAGGGCCGCACACCACCAGCACTGTGGGCTGCTTCCGTGGGAGGGATGGCAGCGGGAAGGCCTGGGAGAGAGGAGAGGGGCATCACCTCACCACCCAGCCCTGGGGCGGCAGGGGAAGGGGTCTGGGTGGGACCCGCGGTGGGGATGTGATGCTGGGTGGCAGCAGGTGGGATGCGGGATGAGGCCAGTGCCTACAAAGGGACGGGGACAGCGGTGCCCATGATGGGATGGGGAAGGTGCCTACTGTGTTCAGGGCTCGTACCCATGGTGGGACAGGGCCGGTGCCCGCAGTGGGTCGGGGCTCCCCGCCAGCCTGCTGGGAGGCGGCCACGCTCCACATACCAGCAGCCGGCGAAGGGAGGCTCTGTTTATCCATTGACAGATTTTTTCCTGCTCACGCAGCCTGGCTCCTGCTTCCATCCAAACCTCGGAGCCCCGCGAGGCACCGCCAGTCCGCAGCCGCTGGACAGACCCCGCTCACCCAGCCCTGGCCCTGCTGCAGCGTTTGGCTGCGGCCCCGGAGCTGCGCTTCCAGCTGCCGTGTGGCTCCCAGGAATGCACCGGGGGGAGCCCAGGGAGGGGACGATGCTGGGGGTACTGCACGGCTAGGGTGAGTGGGAGCTGTTCCCGTGTGATTCCCAGCCCCACAAGGAGGAGGAGGAGGATGAGGAGGAGGGTGCTCCCACTTATTGGGATGCTGCAATGTGGGGCTGCGCCAGCCTTGCCGACCACAGGATGCGTCGAAGCTCCAACACCCAAATACTTCTGCTGCTTCAACAAAGTCTGTGCCGTGAAAGAAGGGGAGGGCAGAGAGCAGCCCAGACACCTCGAATGGAAAAGCTGAGCCGGGAGTGGAGCTTGCTGCCCTCATGAAGCACAAAGCTGCCCTTGATGCTGCACCTTCGCTCAGCCACGCTGCCCTGAGCATCACTGCCTCCACTTCCTCACCCCTAGCACTGAGCAGTGCCAATGCCGGGCACCTGGGGAAGGGCTCAGCTTCCTTTGCAGGGGATGTAAGGGCCCAGTTGAGCCCAATTCACTGCAGGGAAAAGCATTAATGGGATTGCAAAAAGCAGTGGCAAAAAGTAATAGAGAAGCTGCAGCCCTGGGAATGGTGGGGACGGGGAGAGCAGCGCTGGGTTCTGTCCCCTCCCTGGGGCTGTGGCTGTTCCCTGATCCTGGGGCGAAACCAAGGCTAGGAAATCAAGGGATGGGATGGGATGAGATGGGATGGGGGTGGCAGAGCAGCCAGCAGTGAAGCCCCCCCCCCACAATGGGGGTCCTCAGCCCCCACTTTCTGCCTCACCTTGGTGACGGCCACGGCACAGGCGTGTCCCCAGATCTCGATCAGCTGCTGCCGCCCGAAGCGATAATCCTCCAGCAGCTCCTTCTCGATGGCCTCCGCCTCCGCCTTGCTGCGGGGCAGCCGTGAGACCCCAGCAAACCCCCCCCCTCCATCCATCCCCAGCCAAGCAGGGCACCACAGTGGGGACATCGTCACCATTTTGGGGCAACAGGGGGGGGGGCTCACGGTTTGAGGGGGAGTTGGGACAGGATGAGCAAAGGCAGTGCAGGGCTCAGGCACGCGCAGCACGGGGTCGCGGTTGCCTTTCGTGCGAGGCACGGCCCTGGCAGCAGCCCCAGGCTGAACGATCAGGCTGTTATATAAAGCTGAACAATGCTGCGGTTGTTCATCCGCTGCCGAGCCCGGGAGCTGGCAGGGCCGGGAGCTTCAGAATTGGACAATAATTGCTCACATCTGTTGGCTCACCTGCGCCGCGGATGGGAACAACATGTGCCGTTTCCAATCCGCTGCCGTTGCTTTTGTTATTGAAGGGACAGGGAAATTTGAGCCCTGGGAGAACCGACATTGGCTCTGGGGCTGCGGGGTGAGATCCCATGGAGTGCCAGCACTGTGCTGTGCCAGCAACCTGTGGGTGCTGTGGGATGGGGGAACACGGAGCTGTGGGGTGTGCAGTGGGTCTGCAATGGGACCGGGGCGCTGATGTTGGGTGCGTGCATCACCCACACCTTGAATGGTCACAGATTTGGGAGGGGACATCGGTGTGGTGCAGCCACCCCTGGGAGCTGGATGGGGACAGGAGGGGGTCCTGCTGGGCACGTCACCCAGGCCGACCCCACAGACCTTACAGCCACCCCCTGTATGTCTGACAAGACCCCATAGATCCCAGAGATGTGACACACCATGGTCATTCTGGGAGATCCCATAGACCCTGCAGACCCCAACTCCATCCACCCTGACAGATCCCATTGACCCCCTGGGTGCTGGTTGACCCCATAGACACATAGCCCCCCGGATTCCCTCAGACCCCAGAAGCCCTCAGTGCCCCGTCCGTCCCGTCCAACCCTCAGTACATCCCACTCCATCCTATCCTGCCCTGTTTCATCCCATCCATCCATCGCATCCCATCCCATCCCTTCCCGTCCCATCTTGTCTCCGATCCTTTGGTGCCCTCTAGTGAGCCCCAGCCCGGCCCCAGCCCCACAGCGTGGTGCTGTGGGCAAACTGGGGGGCACAGGGACAGACCCAGCCCCGGGGTCCCGCCCTCCCCCCCCCGCGTTGGCAGCAGCAGCCCCCGGGGGTTGGCCCCACCGCAGCTGTGTTGGCGCTCACTGAACAGAAGGCGAAGTTCTGACAAAAATCCGAGCTTTGGATCCAGGGGAGAACATTACCCGTAATTGCTGCTGGCAAAGCATCCTGGGCCCCGGCCCAGGCTCGGTCCCGATGTTTTGGCATCGTCCCCGGAGGGGGGGGACACGAGGGGCTCCGTGTCCCTGGCAGCCCCGCACTCACATCCCCTCCAGCTGCGGACTTTTCGCTCCGCGTTCGCCACGGGACAGGGGCAGAGCGGGACGCAGGCGCTGCTCCGATCCCGGCTGGGGACCGGCAGAGCCCAGCACGGCCCGGGGTAACCCAGCCCTGAAGCCTCCCGCATGGACCGGGGCTGGCGGCGGCCAGGACCCCACAGGGGGAGAAGAAGGGAGAGATGCGAACGGACGAGAGCAGCCCCAGGCGTCACCTCCTGCCCACACTCCCCTCTCCGGAACCCCCCTGAGCCGTGGGGAAGGGGCCGAGCCTCACAGGGCATCAGCTGCACCCCGGGGCTCTGCTCCCCTCATCTTCCCCCCCCCCGTGTCCCGCATTGATACCTCAGCTCCACGTGCACCTCCACCCCGCTTCGCACCCCGCTCCCATCCCCCTGCGGAAATCCTCTGCCCGCGTTCCCCACCCCGAGGCTGCCGATGCCGGAGCCGTCCCCGCCGCAGCCATGGAGACCCGGGATGCGGTTGCTTTGGCAACTGCGGCTATTTGGGTACCAGCCCCCTCCGCCCCCGCGGCTCTCGGGGCTGGGGAGTGAGGAGCAGGGCTGGGACCGCCCCGGGGACACGCGTGAGGGCTCCGCGTCCCCACCCGGAGAGGAGCAGCGCGGGGCCCGCTCCCGTCGCTGGGACCCAGAGACCCTCCAGCACCGCCCGGTGGGTCCGGAGCATCAGAGTCCCCTCGGATCCCCTTCACATCCCGCAGGACCACGCTGGGCAGGATCGGACGCACGGTGCGGGACGTGGGCACAGCGGGACCCCCGCAGCCTCCCCCGGGGCTCCCGAGGGGCGGTGCGGGGCTCACCTGAGGTATCGCGGGGGCTCCCGGGAGGGACCAGGAACGGAGCTCATGGTGGGTGCGGACCGGGACGGGAAGAGCGGGATGAGCCCTGCGGGAGCAGCGGCAGCGATGATCCCTACGGCGCTGTGCGGTGCCGCCCGGTGGGAGGCAGCTCTGACTGCCCCCGCCCCAGCCGGGCTCCCCCCGCCACTCTTGTCCCCCGCGGGCGGTGCTGCCGGGAGGGCTGCAGAGAAACCCCGCAGGCATTATGGAAGCGCCAGGGATGACCGAGCCCTCCCAGGACACGGCGCCTTCCCTCTTCCAAGCACCAGAACCCAGCGGGATTTCAGCCCCGCTCCCTGCAGACGCTGCATGCCCTCAAAGTCTTTGGGACCTCCAAACCCCAACAAATGCGACACCGAGGGACCCATTCCTACTGTGACTGTGGGTACTCAGCCCCACCGTGCACTTGGGGCAACGGCAGCCCCTCACAGCCCTTCCCCTGCTCCCACCACCACCACCAGCCCCAGCAACAAAGACACGGGCAGCACCCCAACCCCACCCCACACAGCCCTGCTGCAGCCTTGTGATGCTGCCAGGCAGGGAGCGCCCCACGAGGTTTCCGACCAGGGAGAAAGGAGCAGAGCACACACACAGCTCGCCGGGTACCCTAACAGGTTTAATGCTGAGCCCCCCGCAGCCCTGAGGGGCCACCAATCAGACGTAGTACTGCAGCCCAAACTTCTCGTTGTCCATCTCAGCAGCTGGGCGCAGGTAGTACAGCTCGTCCACCGTTGGGGGCACCCAGCGGTCGGTGTGGAACAGGGACTCTCCAACCTGGGGGGGCAGAGAGCACTGGAGGGGACACACGGGGATGGCCGAGGGGCTCTGGCACCACTCTCAGTTCAGGGCTGAGATCGTGTGAGGAGGAAAACGGGCGCCCCCACCACAGCTCCAGCAGCAAGGCACCCACACCCACCCAAAAGAGACACTCCCAAGGGACTCCCAGACCCACGGGTGAACCACCTGCCCCTCGATGTGGGTCCTATGGGACAGAGCCCAGCAGGACGCACACCCTCAGCGCCCAGAGCCCAAACCTTCCAACCGGGAACGTCCTTCATGATCTTGGCCTCCTCATCCAGGTTCTGCCGCATGAGGCGGAGGGTTCTGCAGGAGGAGGATCACACAGGGGGGTTCCACACACTACAGCCGTGCCTCCTCCCTTCCCCGCCTCCCCCTCCCCCAGGAGCCGATCCCCGCGCTGCCCCCTCCCTACCTACGGTCCGACTCTGCAAGCAGCAGCGGCATCAGCGCGATGCGCGCCTCCAGGTCCTCGATCAGCAGCCGCCTGCGGGGGGAGGCGGTCAGGGGGAGGATGGGGACGGGGTGTGGGGGGGGTGATGTCCCGGGGCGCGAGGTGAGAGCGAGGGGAGGACCGGGAGAGGCCCGAAGGAAGCGGGAGGGGCCGGCGGTGCACCTGCGCTCCCGGTTCCACTTGATGATGCTGTAGTAGCCCAGCAGGAGGCTGCCGACACCCAGCGCGAAGAGGCTGTAACCTGCGGGCGGGGCGTTAGGAGCACCGGGAGCAGCGCGGGTACCGGCAGCACCGCGCCCGGCCGCCACCGGAGGGTTTCCCGGTGCCCCCCTCCCCAACCTGAGAGGCCGCGGCGCGGGAGGTGCCGCTTGTAGTCGATGGGGCCGTAGCCGCCCGGCGGCGGCATGTCCTGCTTCACCTTCGGCGCCGCCATCACGGCAGCGGCGCGCTACGTCACTTCCGCCGAGCGCTACGTCACTTCCGCCCGCGCTCACCGGAAGCGCTCTGTAGCAGAAGGGCTGCGTGAGAGCGCCCCCACCCCACGCACCTCCAGCCGGAGCGCGGCGGTCTTAAAGGGGAAACGGCACCGAAGAATCGGTGGGCCCCACCCGATGCGGAGCGCGCAGCTAAATGCTCGGCTATGCGCCGAAATGCGCGCGCACGAGCACGCGCGCAGCAGAACGCGTGCCAGAAAGCGCGCACGGAGATGCGCGCAGCGAAAGCGCTCAGAGCTCCGACCCGACCCGACCCCCCCCCCCCCCCCCCCCCCCCCCCCCCCCCCCACGGACGGCAGCGCTGCAGATCGAGGTCACCCCAAACCCCCCCGCACCCTTAAGCCCTAATCGCACCCTAATCCCGCGGCGGCCGTTAATGAGCGCAGATGGCGGCGGAGGTCGGGAGAGCGGGGGGGGCAGCAGCGCTGGGTGCGGGGTCTCATAGCGCTGTGCTGAGGCTGAGAAGCGGGGTTTGGAGGATTGGGGCGGAGGGAGCAGCGCTGGGAGCCGCGTTCTGCATTCGGAGGAGACGCACGTTGGTATTCAGAGCGCTGAAATTATCCCGAAGGGATGGAAAGAAATCGCCGCTCCGTAACTTCGCCGCTGTGCGATCCGAGCAGCGCCGGCGCTCCGTTACAAACGCCGCACAAACAGCGGCGCTGAGCTCCTGCTCGGCGTCGGCTTCGTTTGCCGGGGGTTTTGCCGCCGTGTCCGCCCCGCTGAGCGCTGTGCTCGGGGACGCGGTGCTCCCAGAGCCTCGGCTCTGCCCGCTCCGTGACGCCAAACGGGGTTGGTTGTTCCCGCTGTCACCGAAACGCTTCCCTCGCCGTCGTCCCGCGCACTGAGCGGGGTTCGTTGTTCTGTGCAGAACGATGGGAGCTCAGACGTGGAGTGCGATGGAAGGGCTGAGACCCTCTGCAGCTTTTCAGTTCTATTGGTGAAAATCCACGTTGGTTCCATCTCCTCCCCATCCGCTTCCCATCCTCCAGTGTGGGTTTGGGGGAACTGCATTCCTCGGGGGGAGGAGTGGGCAATGATGGAGATCTACACAGCACTTGGAATCCACCACCACCATCATCATCATCAACACCACCAACACTGCCATCACTGACACTATGACCACCATCAACACCACCACCATCATCATCATCATCACTATCATTGACATCACCATCATCACCGACACCTGTCACCACCATTGCCATCATCACTGCTGTGGTTGACATGACACCATCACCACCACCAACACTGCCACCACCACTGACACCACAGCCACGGCCACCAACACCACACTGACACCATTGCTGCCATTGACACCATCACTGACCCCATCACCACCACTGCCATCATCATTGCTACAATTGAGGTGACACCACCACCACCGCCATCATTGACACCGTCACCATCAACACTGTCGTCACCAGCACCATCATCACTGACACCAACCATGACCACCACCATCATCGACACCACCACAACCCCCGCTGCCATCATCATCACCAACACTGCCACCACTGCCACCATTGACATCATCACCATCAACACCACTCCACTGACAACACCGCCATCATCACTGACACCATCATAACCACCACTGCCATCATTGACACCACCACCGCCATCATCACTGACACCACCATGACCACCGTCACCATCACTGACACCACAGCCATCATTGACACCACCACAACCGCCCCAGTCATCATCATCACCACCTCCACCATTGACATCATCACCACCATCATCATGGACACCACCACGACCACCACTGACACCACCACCACCACCAGAGTTGCCATCACTAATGCCACCATGACCACCACCACCATCATTGGCACCACTGCCATCATTGACACCATCACAACCACCCCTGCCATCATCATCATCACCGCCATCATCACTGACACCACCATGACCACCATCACCATCACTGACACCACTGCCATCACGGACACCATCACCACCATCAACAACAACTGCCACCATTGACACCATTGTTGCCATCATTGACACCAACACCACCAATACTGACACCACCATGACCACCACTGCCATCGCTGATGCCACCATGACCACCATCACCATCATTGACACCACCATTGCCATCAATGACACCACCACAACCACCCCTGCCATCATCATCATCACCACCACCATCACTGACACCACCACCACCACCACCATCATCAACAACACTGCCACCATCAACACCACCGTTGCAATCAATGGTGCCACCATCAACACCACCGCTGCCAACATTGACACCAACACCATCAACACTGACACTACCATGACCACCATTGACACCACTGCCATCATTGATACCATCATGGCCACCACTGATGCCACCATGACCACCATCGCCATCATTGACACCAACCATCCCTGCCATCATCATCACCACCACCACCATCACTGACACCACCCCCACCCCCCATCCACCCCAGACCCCCAATGACAGCCAGACGCAGGAGTTTGTCCACTTGTTTATTGTCATCCAAACACCAAAACCCCCCTCACAACACAACGCACAGTTATTGAGTTCAGGTTCTTCCTCCCTTGGGACGATCAGTGGGAACTTTTTTTGTTGTTTTTTTTTTTTGTTTTGTTTTTTTTTTGTTTTTTGTTTTTTTTTTTTAAAGTTTTGATATATATTTTTTTAATCAAAAGATTTAGAGTCACAATAAATACGAGTGACAAAACCATACCCTGCGCTGCTGTAACGTCGCTGTTACACTTTGTTAACGATTATAAATTCTTCTCATCTTTTTTTAAAAAAAAAGCACAATGCAAACTGTTCCGCTGAAAGGCGATACACAGCGTCACTGCCTTAAGCAGACAAACACTCCTGTGGTTCCTTGAGGTCTTTTTTTTTGCATCATATATATATATATTTATATCTTTATTATTAAAAAAAAATCGCCTTCTGTGCCCTCTCCTTCTGAAAGGAAAAGGTGACGAAGGCTCTGAATGCAGTGGCACCCATCAGGCCAGCTCTGCTCACTCCTACAGCCCACATCCCCACTTTCCCAATTCTTTGCTGCCCTTTGGCCATTTGTTTTCTACTTAGTAAGCAAAAACAAAACAGGGATGGCGAGGTCCGACAATTCGGAGGTGAAGGAGCGGTTCCTAAAACCGTCATAAAAAGGGATCTATGGAAAAAAAGAAGCAAACAAACCCACCAGCACTGACCTACTGGGAGGGCAGGGTTAACCCAGCATCTTCCTCAGCATCCCAGCAGGAATGCCATGCGTGGCACAACGAGGAGCACAGCCCCATGGCCACGGCGTCACCCCGAGCTCCGCGTGGGCAATAAATTAGGCTATAATAATAACTATTATAATAATAAAAACCAACAAAATTAACAAACCACACGGGCTCCCAGATCGCAACACTGGTTTTCAAATGAAAATCAGGGGTTTATTTTCACAAGTCGCTAAAATCTAAGTACAATAAGTCATTGTCATTATTACTGTATTATAAAATCTCGTAGTTGCAACGTCTCCAAGAAAGGTTATATGGCTTGTGAGAACCAACGCTGCTCTCAGCCTCTCCCCAGGAGAGGTGGAAGCCTGCAGCACCGTCCCCAGCTCATGCAGCGCCGTGCAGCGAAGCGGCGGCGGTCGGTCTTTGTTCAGAGCTCTCCCCACACTTCTGTGGGAGCCCTTGGGTGGTGGGAATCCCAGCACGTGGCAGCACAGAGGAGCAGAGGTTTGTTCTGCACGGCTCCTCGGCCGCCCGCCTCCACCGCTCCCCAGCAGCGTCAGCTCGAGGCGTAGCACCACCGCCGGGACGTTCCATCCAATGGAGCTTTTTTGCTTTTTTCTCCCCCCCCCCAGCCTTCCCCTCCTCTGGAAGGGGAGGAGGAGATGCCCGCCCTGCAGTGCAGCTGGCACAGTGCTGAGCAGAACACGCAGCTCCGGCCGTGCAGCGAAGCTCAGCGCTCGTGTTCTGCTGCAGCGCCCAGCCCAGGGCTTTGCAGCGACACATGCAATAAATAAGGAAGTTACCTGCAGTGCTCCAAGAACCACAGCTTAAAAACGATGTCAGACCGGGTCTGGATGGCAGCAGCGATGGCTGGGCTGGATCTGTTGGTTACAAACCCCCTGGTGCATTGGATGGGGCTCACGGGGCCACTCAATTTACTAAATAGAAGCTCGCTGCGGTCCAGCATCACGAGGGAGCAGCGTTTGCAAGGCGCTTCGTGCTTCCTGCTTCCAGTTCTGAGCTCTCTCCCATCACACTGAGCTTAGTGGCAGGTCTCCCCTATGGGCTGTGCTGGAACAGTGTGAGCTGCTGTGCCCAAACAGGCGCTGCCATCGCTTTTAAGCCGGGTGCTTTTCATACTTCTGCCCCTCTTTCCACTCCCCTCTTTGCCAGCTGTGACACACAAGGCAGACATCACTCCGGCTCCCCCCCAGGCATCTGCGTTTTAAATTGAGAGAGGTTTTGCTTTTTTTTCTTTTGGACAAACACGCTCTCCCTCCCCAGGTCGGGTATCAGCTCTGGACATGTTTTGGTGATAATGCAGGCATTGGTCAGAAGAGAGAAAAAAAAAATAAAATAAAATACAAGAAAACTCCACACGTGTAAAGAACTGAAACAATTCTGTAATATTTTCAAAGTGCAAAAATAAAATGCACTCCATTTCTCTCTTTCTCTCTCTCTCCACGTCTCCCGATCCAAAATACCCCGGAATGAAAAGAAAAATGAACCCAACACAATTAATTCCTCTCGTGCCCAGGTCGCTCTTAATATACATTTGTAAAACAAACGGAGAAAAAATAAAACAAAGTCAAATTGAAATCCTAGGGCTTTATACAGCAACAAAGACCATTTTGCAAAACTAGGCTCTCTAGGCTACCCAACAGTTTCCAAAGTATCTAAATATTGATATTCACACAACAGAACAGGGGCTAAAATGGACGAGTTCTCTTTCCCACTATGCAATAGTTAGATCTGGGGGGGTGGCCCTACACAGAGACTGCTTCAGAGTTAGATCTAACAGCAGCTGCTAAGAAAATAAGATTCAGCATAGAGGCTGAGTAGTACCCACTCCCCCCTTTTCTTTTATATATAGATATATAGATATATATATAATTTTGCAAATAATTCTCATCAGCACTACTTCTAGCACTGATATGCAACATAAGTAGTAAGGCATGTCTTTCTGCCACTCGAATTGGACGTGAATTTGGGAGAAGCACAGGGAAGAAGGAGAGAAGATGACGAGGAGACAAACTGGACCTGAGGGATCTGGGCTGAAACCTGCGGAATCCCCAAAATATATTAAAACCACGTAGAAACCTGTCCTTAAAGCAGGGTTACCTAAAGCTCTATCAAAATGCAATACTGCAGTGGCAGGGGAGCGGGCCTGGAAGGGGGGGGAGCAGTGGGCACAGTGTTTAACCCAGCCATGGCCCCCCCCTCTGCTCGCCCTTCTGACTGCGTGCAGCTTCTGCAGCTCCTGGATTTGGAGTAAAATTGCTCAAAACAACAATAAACCTAAAAAAAAAAAAAAAAAAAAAAAAAAAAAAAAAAAAAAAAAAAAAAAAGAAAAAGAAAAAAAAAAAGAAAATAATCCGAAACAGTTTCACTCATTAAGTCCTCTGGGAACGTATGAAAGGCCCAACTGCTCTTCGCTGAATTAGAAAGATCGAACAAAGGTGTTTGTCTATGCAGTAAATTAGATTTTTAGACTACCAACAGTTCAGAGTCTATTCGAAACAGAATCCAACAAAATTGAGAGGCTCCTGCACTGGGTCCCACCCACCAGACGAGTTTTGGTGGTAGCCAGTCCCTTAGGAAATAACAGACTCAAGTGGAATTTCAGTTTGCTCTTATTTATCATTAGCTCATCATCGGCGGATTCTGAAACATTATCATCTGTAGACTGCCTTCCTGGCTGAGGAGGGGCAGGGAAGAAAAGCAAACATGAACTCGGCTCACTAAATGTGTCTGCAGGACTGGTGGAAGCTGCTCTCCCCAGGCTGCCATCCATGCTCCGTGGTGAACCAACACCGTGCTCCTGGTGCAGTTCTCAACAAAGAAACCGAAGGCAGAGAGTCACTCAGTCCTCCTCTTGTGCTGGTGACAAAGAAAATCCAAACTAAATATATAAAGCCCAAAAAATAAGAATTCTTCCCCTTCCCCGACAGCCTTCATTATCAGTCAATCACAAGAATCTGATAACCAAATGAGCTCAAGTCTTTCCCACCCACACGGTGTCATTTCTCATAGCGGGGACAGCAGCACTCGATGGGATGAGGAGTGGTCTTCTTGCATCCTATAAAGCCTGGGGCGTATCCAGCTGGGATTAAAGCAGATTCCACTGTCGTGTGGTATAAAAAGGATGGCAGAAACAGGAAAGTCTTCCTCTCGGGTGTTCCTCTGCGTTATTTCCACGTGGCAGACTGTGGGATGGACCGTGGGGGGATCATATCCAGGAGATACTCACGCTGGCGGTCTACTGCTGAGGAGGACTTGTGCACAGCTAAACTAGGGTTAACAAAGGGTAGAGCCCCACCTGAGGAGACACAAAAGAGAAGAGAGAATGAAGGTCACAGCACAGTAAAACCAGTGGCAAATAAGCACCACTCTCATTTAACCTGCATGGATGAATTGAAGTGGGCCCGCAGTGCTACAGAAGGTCAGGCACCTTCAAAGGTCTAAAATCAGCCAAGCAAACAGCAAGTGAGGTTTCGTATCAGAAATGAAGACTTGAGCAGACTAGGGCTCTCTGCAATCAAATCATGCTGAAGTGATAAATTAAGCTGTCAGGAGGAAAAAATATAAACCATTCAATACTGAGTATGAAAGTAGATCACAACGGAGCTAATTGCTATGCTGCTTCCTTCCTGGAGATCCTAATGATCACTTAAAAAAAAAAATAGCTCTACAGTCAGATTCTTACATACAGAAGAGATTAAACAAGAATTTAACTTTCAATTTGTTCCAAACAACAGCTTCAGTTGGTTCAGATCCTGCAGAACGCTGCGAGGATGTGCTGCAGCCTCACCTCCAGCAAAACCTTTATTTGATGTGGTTTGATGTGAATTGACCAAACTCAGGTCCCAGAAATGCACAACAAACCCCAGCAGTGTGGCACTGACTGCACAGAGCCAACAAAGAGCAGTCTGATAATAAGTCACCCAGGCTGCTTACGACTCTGTAAAGCAGCACCTTTTGCTCGTGCCTCCTTTGAGGAGCACAAACTGCAGCAGAAGCCAATGCCAACACCCACACTGAGAGCACAGCCTGGGGACAGCCAGGCCTTCGTGCAAAAGTGCCAAAGAGAAAGCATCCTTACCCAAAGAGCTATGACTGTTGGATAGATTGCAGCTAATAAGCAGAAAGAAAAGTAACTTCAGAAAAAAATCTACCTGTATTGATGGGAGTCTTCTTCCAGGCGGCAGCGCTGCCCTTGCTGACAGGTCTCTCAGCATGCTTACCTGGCCTGCTCCCAAGTGCTGCTGCAGACGATGCATTCTGCAACTTGGGTGACTGGCTAAATGCATGCAACACTCCCCGTGGACCTCCAGAGCCTCGAGACATCTGGCTAGAAGTCTGGATAAAGAGCAGACAGTCAGACAGGCACAGGGAGCATCCCTCCTTCACCTACCGGAGCCTAGACCAACATTTATTGCCTGATTTTCTCCTTTCTTGGCTTCCTCTGCCAAAGCCAGAACGAGCTATTAATTCCAGGTCTGAAAACCTCTAAATCATCTCTAAATAAAAACAAGAAATCAGTTTTGTGTTCCTCAAAGTACCTGTAAGAACGCAGAAAGATGTGCTGTGTAAGCATCTCTAACACCAGCATCTCCTCTGCCTAAAGAATCAGTGCCCTGATTATTTCAACTCAAAGCAGCACTTAAGCTGACTCTTCCCAACTGAAAGGTGGTTTTATAAGGTGTGTGAGATGCAGTTTCCACCACGGATGATGGATGCCTGTTACCTTGAAGCTTCACAAGCACAACTACACACTCCCAGCTCAGCCACACTCTCTACCTGAGCTACATTTATTCCCATGTATTTAGCACTGAAGCAAGTTTTTTTTTCATTTGGTCCCAAAAAAAAGGAGATGGGGCTTCGTGCAGCCAGAGCCTCACCTGCTTGAGCGAGTGGTGCTGCACGATGGGGTCTGACTTGCTCTGTACAGGAGATGCAGTCTGTTGCAGTATCCTCTGCTCAATCTCCTGCTCCTGCTGCAGAGCTTTGACGAAGGCAGCCTTCAGCCTGTTAGTGTGCTCTGCTTTCAAGGCCTTTTTCTGATTGGATGTCATACAGGTTTCACACATAATGGTTCCATTCTTCTCCTCCCTCCAGCGGCAGGTGAAGTCAGTCTTACACTGAGCACACATGTAGGGCTCACGAGATGAAACGGGAATGGCAACTTTACCTGCAGAACACAGCCAGGTGAGCTGAGCTCCAGCTCTGATTTCTACAAGTGATCTACAACAAACCTCAAGATACTCCATCACAAAAACATACACAACCCTCCCACTCCTCCCCCCCTCTCCTCAGCCTTTTGCACTATTCGATGTTCTTTCACCTCCCTCTGTTGGCGTGCAGGCATCCTGCAGATCCTTCTTTCCTCACCCTCCTCAAACCATCCTGAATGGCAAGTGCATTGCAAAAATCAGGGAGTGGGGCAAGAGAAGTGGTGCTATTTGTTGAGACAAAATCTGCTCAACTGTTTGATAGTTACGAAACACCTGATAAACCAGAGAGATCTGCAGCCTAGAAGGGACAAGGAGAGTTTTTAACCAACTCAGATTTTCTTCTTGTCTTCTGCGTGGACTTGGCAACAGAGCTGGAGTTTTCATTTGTTTGGAGGCAGTTCCTCCAGGATAGTGCTTTCATTTCTCCCCAGGAACATCCCTTTATCTGCTGAAAATGCAGATGGAGAACACCGTGGTGATGCATAAATATGTGGATGACAGGAAGTCACCTGGGAGAACTAAAGTCCAGGAGAACTAAATCAGTGCCTAGCCTCTGGGAAATCCCAGCACCGTGCAATTCTACAACTTTACAGTTACAGCAAGTTGAAAAATGGTGATGGAAGTGAACCCCAGATTAGACAGACTATGAAGATTTAGTCCTGGAAAGCCTGACTTGCTGCCTGCTGTTCCCATCACGGATGGGAAAGGTTCTCTCCTCACCTTTGCGGAACTGCCATCTCACCTTGAGTTTCCAGCAAATTCTGCACAACTTCTTCCAATCCAACTAGGTAAATAAATTCGTTATTAGCTGCGCTGGGCAGGAAGTTCATCTCTGGAGCAGGTGGCTTTGGAGGAGGGATCTCCAGCAGTGTCTTCTCCAGCTGCTTCCGCAGCGCCAGCTTGGCTGCAGCCTGCCGGCTGGCGGGCGACTCGTTGGAGTTGACGATGGAAGCAGCGCTGGTGGAGGTGGCATTGGCCTGAGCTGATGTCACTGTTGTACCTTTGATTGAAGTTGGAGAGGCCTTGGAGGAAAGAAAACACAGCTTAGTGACACGTGCCGGGCCACCTCGGTACAGTGGGGCTGTGCTGGGGGGCAATGAGCAGTGATCAGGAGTTGGGACTCAGTGACTCCCATCAGCTGGGGATGCTGTATGAGTGTGTGAAGGTGCTTGGGGGGGGGACTGGACTGCCTGCCCCTAAAGCTTACTTCTGCAGTGACCAACGGGTCACAGGATTGACATTTATTGCAACAGTGTACCACCTATTACATACGTTACCCGTCATCCAACCCTCTAATTCTTTCATAAGGAACTGACTTTTCTTTCTTATCAACTCAATCACACAGTTTTGGAAATCTGAAAGGAAAGGGGCACTTTTCTTTAGGACTTCAAACTGCTTTTGTCCACAGGTTTTATACAACATCAGCATTAGCAGGACCTGCAGGCTGCTCAAGACAGAAGCCCACCCTGAGCTCTGCTTATGAAAACACGACAACAAAGAGAGACAAAACATCCCAACATTTCCATCCGCTGTCCAAAACACCCAATGCGAAATGAGGAGGAACACCGCATTCAACGAATGCATTTGGCATTAAGGATTTTGCAGTGCTCACCTGAGGGATGTTGACGATCAGGCTGGTATTGGGGACGTTGGCCACACGGATCAGGCCCTGCTGGATAATTCTCTGCCCCTGAATTTGGACGCTGGGGACCGATGCCCGTGGTGCCAGCAGCAGCGGAGGCGGCCCCGTGCTGGAGTGCTGTCGGATGTTGTGGATTTGCTGGGAAGACACAGAAATGGGCTGATGAAATGATCAGACAGCAGGAGATAAGTGTGGGGAGTCGATGGGATGGGAAGGGGGCAAGGAAGGGAACGCAAAGAAAGCGCAGTAATTGATGTTTGTGTCAGAATGGGATGTTCTTCCCTTTCAAAACGAAACAACTGGAATGTGGCAATGAAAGAGATGCTCCTATGAGAAGCCATCACGTTGCAGGCTAGAGAGCTGTGCCAAAAATCCAAGTTCCCACGTCAAATTTCTTCTAAAAGGTCTATCTGTTAAGCCTGTTTCATTTTAAAGGCATTAGGAAAGCTGTTTCTCAGAATGAGGTTTTCTCCCTATCGGAACAGAAAGAAAATGAACCACCAAGTGCTCTGCCTTCCCCTCAATGCTGGCTATGCAATAGATAAAAGTGGACCTTCTGCTACAAAATAAATCCTCTTTTAACAAGAAAATATTGTTTTCCTCAGTTCCCCACGGAAGTCTGAAATCCAGAAGGCCAAATGAAATAGAGCTTTGCTTTCCTACTCCTCCAGTGACAGGTGATAAAGACCCTGCAAAGTAGCACTTCCCCATTTCCAGTTGACTAGCTCATTTCAGCAGCTCTTATTCAACCTGAAGACAGACACGATGAGCAAAAAAAAAAAAAAAAAGGGAGTTTTCACGTTTGAAACAGTGAAATTGATACAGCAGAAAGAATAATGAGGAAAGAAAAAGGGAAGAGGAAGGGATTACAGTTTGTTTCCTCTGCTGCTGCTCTCCCAGGCAGAGGGTGAAGCTGGGAGCCTGTCCATTAGCTCTTGTAATAAAGCAAGCAGAAGTCTCTGGTGCAGCCAAGGGAGGACACAGTGAGGGTAAGGCAGTATTCTGCATCACCACGGTTCACTGGGAGTGTTATGGGACAGCAAAGTAAGCATGAGCTGCAATGGTCCTTCAGTGGCAATATACTTCTATTAAGCAATGAATGAAAACTATAAAGGATCCTTCCAGCTAAGCAGAATGACAGCTAAGGAAACATTTAAGACACATTCAGGAAAAACAGAACAGATGTACCACGAAGGAAATACCTGTGCTCCTCTGACAAGAGGTGGCATTACTATCTGTGTGTTTTGCTGGGTTCCTAATTTTGCAGAGGCCTGCTGCCCACCACGAACCAATGGAGGAGGAATAACAGTGCCTGGTATACGTGTAGAAGAGGTCTGAAAAACAGAGGACAGTTTACTTGCGTTTTTCATCCTGCTGCATTTGGATGCATGCTCTCTTCTGCTCAGAGCACCAAAAAAAGCAGTGTCCAAAACGTTACGCAGCAATACAGACATCAGAACACAGAGGTGTGCAGGCTGTGTGCTCAGGGGCTGTTCTCTCACACTCTGCACAGAGTTCAAAATATAAAGAGCAGCCCTGAAAGACGTCTCCATCCACCACCCCTGCACAGCTCAGCAGCTCAAGAACCACTGAGAGACACAGGGAGCCACGCTGCAACAGGAGCACGATGTGCATGAGAGCAGCTCTCCTCAGTGCCTGATGTGATGAATGGTATCTGGCTTCAGCACGAGGACAGCAAAGGCTGCAGCACTGGACATGGTCAAGCTGGCTTCTGAACAGCTCGCATTCCAAGCAAGCAAGCAAACAATAAATAGCAACTTTATGTTCTGGGAGGATGAGGGAACAGGGGCATACACACTGCTGGCTCCGAGGAGAAGCAAAGGGCAGACAGAAGCTGGGGATGCAGGAGGCTGGGGGGGTTTGGCATGGGCATGTGTGCAAGAAGAAAAGGGAAAAAAAAAAGAAGTCAAGCTAGAGAGGTCTGAAACACCACCGACCATCTTTTTTGAGCTGTGGACTGTCATACATCTTGGAAGTTTCTCACAATGCAGCCAAAGGTTTCATGCATCACTTACATTCCTGCAGAGCACGACGCAGCCTCGTCTGGAAGCACTGCTCAGAGCAGCAAACCCCTCCACTCTGCTCACAGGGCTCTGCACATCCACCACTCCCCTCACCCCGACCCCAAACTGACCATCATCCCCCAAATTAAGATGCTGCACACACTGGAGCTCTCACATCCACGAGCTCCCAATGCCTGCACACACGTAGTGAGGACGGGGGAAGCTTAATCCCCTTCTGTTACACCCCCCAATTGGAAACCAAATGTCAACTCCTACACGCAGGAATTAAAGAGTTTTCACAGACAAGCAAAAGCAGATGGAGGTGAGGTTCATTTGCCCAAACGCCACAAATGAGACAGAGAAACTGAACACTGGATCCGCAGCTCCCAGCTCTCTGCTCTGCCCACTGGCACACACACACAGAGCTGCAGGCTCACAGCCCATGTGTGGGGATTTAACTCGTGGTCCAGTTCCTCTGAAAGTGCTGTCTCCTGAGAAGGCAACTCGCCTTAAGGAAGAGAATACTCAAGCTGACAGAGTGCCTCGAGTTTTGAGGTCTCCCAAACGGAGCACACATCCACCCCACCCCTCATGCAGAGCACTCTGAGGGGCTCTCAGATGAAGAGCTGGTATTTTCCAAGCAAAAGCATTTTCTGCTGAAACTGTTTTGAAATTTGCTTCAGATCAGCCCGAGGTAAATCATCAGAAATGTTTTAAATTTGAAAGTGAAGCAAGATACCAAACTCAGAGGAAGATCGGGCTGACAGATGCCAATTCCCTCGGTTGTTTTTTTCCCCCCAAGGCTTTCCAACATCACATTCAGTTCAGCCTGAACAGACCCTCCTCACCAGCACGTGCCACTCAGCCACCAAGCCAAAAAGGAAAACCTGGCAGCCTTCAGGTGACCATCCTGAAGGCACAATTAAATACCTGCAGCCCACAGCAACAGGTTGCCACAGCGTTCCTACGACAAAACTCTTTTGCCAGAGGTCTTTAGCAGCCACAACCTGCGTGCATTTATCAGTGGAGCAGATGAGGCCCTCAGGATGATGAGGATAAGCTTTGGAGGGGTATCTGTGTGTGACGTCCTACCTCTATCTCCCACCCCAAGCGTTCTTACACAGTGGGGTGTGTTGGAGCGAGTGCTGGCTCTGTCTCAGAGCTTCCACCTGGCTGTGAGCAGTGAGCTGCCAGCCTGTGCTGCCCCGTGCCCTGCTTGCTGTGTGCCCTACCTGGCAGCCTGGCCCGCCCCACTGACCTGCAGGGACGGCTTGCCAGCAGGAACACTCTGCGTGCCCCGCACCAAGGGCGGAGGGGTGGCCACAGCACTCCCAGAGGAACAGGCAGGCTGGAAGAGGAAAAACCAGAAAGAAAGCAGAGAAGTGTAAGGGTGTAGGCAGAATCACAGAGGCTAAGGGAATAAAAGCGTTTACCTCCTTCGCCTTAGTAAGGGAATCTTCAAAGACTGTGGGTTTCCCCTTCCCCCACCCTTTGCTTCTTCCGAGCACCTCACCAGGCGTATTTAAATGGAGAAGTGATTAGGCAAGTATAGATAAGGTTATGTCAGAAAAAGAACAGAGCCTATGCACCAAAAGCACAGCAATGCAGAACTCTGTTTCAGCAGCCTCGGTTTATAGCTTGCTTCAGTCTCATCCTCTGTTACTACTGGTTCCAACTAATTGGGTTTGAACATAACAAAGTGAAAAAAAGTTAAAGGCTTCACTTATTAAGGTGAGGATACACCAACTGACCCTGCTGAGTTCCGGCACCCCAAGTTCATCACTCAGCAGGGAACTGCATGCTATTTCATTGGCTTTATTTGCACCTCAGAAGTCCAGGAGAAAGACACCAACAAGCAAACCCAGGCACGGAGAGGTGCTAACATCCAGCTGACACCTACACAGCACCCCCTGCACAAAATCCATCGCGTCAGCACCACACACTGCAAAGTCAAAGAGGTGAGAAAGCACTGTGACAGAGCCTGAGCCTGATGGTGACACTGCAGCTCCTCGACACAAAGGGGGAATTTCTGCTGGGGTGGCAAGAGAGGAGGAGGAGGAGGAAAGGCAGGAATTGGCAGAGCAGATCCTGGCAGTGGGGATGTGAGCACATCCATAACCACGCTGGCAGGGTTGTTACGCAGGAGATCCTCCTCCAAACGCATGCCAGCTCTTTCTGTGCTTCTTTAAGGACTGTGTTTAGTAATCTGCAGTGTATTTCACTCATTAACACACCTGAGGTTACCAAAAAGCCATTCTGCTTTAGGTTAGAGCTGATGGGATAAGCTGCCTTGTCTTCTCATCTTGGCGAGACCAAAACGCCGCAGGAAGGAACGGTTAATGGGATACACTTTAATTCACAAAGGTTTGGCAAAAAGCAAAATACGCTGCATTCAAAAGCTCTGCAAGTCACAGGAACTGCCACAGTTTAATATCTTTTTTTTTTTTTTTCCCTTCATTCCAAGAGGCAAGATAAGGATCAGCAGGAGCAGACGTACCTTCTGAGTAGTGGTCTCCTTCTGGATTTGACTCTGCCGTAGCTTTTTCAATAGGACAAGCTTTGCTTCCTCTAACCGTAGCTCTTCTTTCAGTTGTTTGATCATTCTCTCACGCTCCTCAGGACTGCTTTTCTGCAGGGCCGGGTAAGGCAATTGAGGATGGGAAAACAGGGAGGGGGCAGAGGGAAAGACAGATACCATGCAAGTTACAACAAGACCTCACTGCCTTGTAATTGTCATGTGTGTCTTAATATCACTGACATGTCTGCAATGCAGGGACACAAACTGAGGGTGGAAAAAGAGCTCAAAGGCCAAGGGAAAAAAAAAAAAAAAAAGCTTTGGTAATTTCCATAAGGGAAATGAAAAAAACAAAAGTCAAATGAAGAGCCAAGCGACACGCTGAGTATGGGATATTGTGCCCACCAATATAAACCTTGCCAAAAAGTCAATTCTGAAAAAGGTGCTCTTAAGAAGCACATAAAATGTTAAGGAGGTGAGAGCCTGGAAAGTAATAATAAAGCACACATCAGCTTCTAACAGCTGCAGGACCCCCCCCACCACAAACCAATCCTCATGGAGTCAGGGTTCCCCTGACCCCCAGCTGCAGGTGGCTCTGCAGAAAGAGGACAGCCCAGGCTGCAGTGTGTCAGGACCTGTGGACTCACCATGAGTGCCTCCGTGTTGGTCTCTTTTAATGCTATTTTTGTTAAACCATTCATTCTAGGGCTAGAAGGTTCATTGTCTGACAGCACTATGACATCCGGGGAGGGGACTCGCTTCTCTCTCTTTATTTCACTGCAAATCAGAAGGAAAACACAGAGAATGAGTTAATAAAAACAAGTGAACAAGCGCTGCGTGCTGCACGGTGTGACTTACAGCCTCCTGATACTTTATTCCTGTATCTCTCAACTTACTGCCTCCTTAATGTGCTGCAAGGAAGAACCTGACTCCCCTTCTCTTTTTCCTCTCTTAATGTAAGGGATTTTGTATTCTGACCTCCCCACCCAGGCTACTTACCTGAACCTTAAGGAAACAACTGAAACAACTCACACACAGTCTCCGACCTATGTTTGAGCACTTTCTTAGGACATAACCTTTCTACACCTCTCACCCCTCAGATCCATTAGGAGGAAACACTAAACTGCATTAAAAAATAAATAAAAGGGTCGGGGAGGATGTGATGTGCAGACAGCACTGCTGCTGCTCCCTCAATGCACATCACAGTTTCCTGAGCAGCTGGGAATGAGCCCAGCCATGCATCGGGGTCACCATCCAGGAATGGCAGGAGCAGATCCTCTTTGGTGCCAGGATTTGGGATCTCAAAGCACACAGCACGGTTTGTGGGAGCAGGGAGGTCTGTCAGGAGCACAGCACAGGGGACAGCAGAGCACAGGGAGCAGTGACAGCGCGTGTGAAAGGGCTGACAGCAAGAAGAGCTGAACGCACACACGGCTGTGTTTTGTTTTCCTTGAAACCCAAAACCAGAAGTAGGAACAATGAAGTTTACACTGTGAGCCTTCTAAATTTGTGGTGAGTTATGCATTAGGAAAAATGCCTGGAGAGCTTGTACCAAGCAAGGCTAAGCAAATATTTAAGTGTGGCTTGTACTACTCACAGGTAAGAGATGTGGCACGGAAGCTTTCTGCCTCTTCCTATCAGGTAACTGCCCCTCAGATTAAAGAACGATTTCCAGGCTTTACTGCTACTCCCCATATATCAAGAATCCAATAATTAACCCTTATTATCTAATTTAGAGATGTGAAGGATATTCACACTGAGCAACATCACCGGAGAGCCGTGTGCCCCACAGACCAGGAGACCCACAGATGGAGCCACCTTTGGGATACAGCAAAGCCAGCCGAGAGCTGCACGGAAAGCTTTCAAAATGCAATTTCCACTTTGGTGAAAGGATTACAAAGGGAGAAGTGTCCTCTAGAGGGCACAGCGAGCCAGTAAACCCGACCTACTGAAACTCTGAGGGCTTCCAAAGCAGCAGAGGCACAGGTGGAAGGTTTCCAGTGTGTTCCTGTACCTGGTGGCACAGAACTGGCTGCTGGTGCCTTCGGATGGGCTGTGACAGAACAGGGCCTGGTGGTGGGTGGCAGTGGGCAGCGTGAGCCATGGAGCAGCACCATCTATGGGTCCAGGCAGGAGGTGGGGATGTGGTTGAAGCCTTCTGCCAGCCTGAGCTGCTCCAGGTGGGAATCCAGGCCCTCGTGGCACTCACAAACTGAGATTGCTGTAACCATGGGGATCTGAGGCGCCCAGTTCTGGACCTCATGGGACCTTGCTGCCTGCTCTAGTCCTCAAGCTCACCCACGTGCACCACAGGGGCAATGTGGTGCTCTGGTCCCTCCCGAACCACAGCACTCCATGGTTCCATGGCTCAGAGCACAACCAGCCCGCAGGGAGGAGAGCAGCACAGCGACGGGCGCAGTGACACAGCAGAGCAGTGCTATCACCCATGGGCCCGTTTCCAACAGCACGGCAGAACTCAGGGCTGGGGTTCTGATACTGAGGGACAGTCCCCACAGCAGCAGCCCTGCAAACCACAGAGGGGCTGAACCCCACAGAGCCCCATAGAGCCCCATGGAACCCCACAGAGCCCCAGGGAGCCCCATGGAATCCCACAAACCCCTTAGAGTCTCACAGAGCCCCATGGAGCCCCATGGAATCCCACAGAGCCCCACAGAGCCCCTTGGAGTCCCACAGAGCCCCATGGAATCCCACAGAGCCCCACAGAGCCTTTTAGAGCCCCCCTTAGAGCCCCATGGAATCCCACAGAGCCCCCATAGAGCCTCTTAGAGTCCCACAGAGCCCCATGGAATCTCACAGAGCCCCATAGAGCCCCATGGAATCCCACAGAGCCTCTTAGAGCTCCCCTTAGAGCCCCATGGAATCCCACAGAGCCCTATAGAGCCTCTTAGAGCCCCACAGAGCCCCTCAGAGCCCCTTAGAGCCCCACAGAGCCCTTTGGAGTCCCACAGAGCCCCACAGAGCCTTTTAGAGCCCCCCTTAGAGCCCCATAGAGCCTCTTAGAGTCCCACAGAGCCCCATGGAATCTCACAGAGCCCCATAGAGCCCCATGGAATCCCACAGAGCCCCTTAGGGCTCCCCTTAGAGCCCCATGGAATCCCACAGAGCCCCATAGAGCCTCTTAGAGCCCCACAGAGCCCCACAGAGCCCTCCAGGCGCCGCCGTCCTGCGCCGAGTGGGGCACCGCGGGGTCACGTGACACAGCATCATGTGACCCGCAGGGCGAAAGCCATGGCAACGGGCGGTCCCAGCCGGTGCGGCCCGGCCTTCATTTTGTGAGGTGAGGTCAGGACCAGGTGGTGGCACAGAAAATGGAGCGGGCCGGGCCGTGGGGCAGCACCGTGGGTCCGTGTGCCAAGGGACGGAACGGGGCTTCTCAAGAAAAAGGAGTGGAACAGGCAAAACAAAAGGAAGTCCCAAAGAGAGCCGCTGCGCTGCTGTTGGGATCCTCGCTTTGTTGGCTTCTGGATCCCTCAGGAAGGAAACGGCACAGAGAGCTGCACAGCCAAGCCTGGAACTGCTGCAACAGGAGCACCAGCCAACAGAGATCTCCACCAGCAGCAATCTGCCTCAGTGCACCTTTGGGAAGATGAATGAGACGGAATGGGAGGAAAGAGCAGAACCTCCAGCACCAACGCGACACTGCTGCATCCAGAGCACAGCAGCCCTGCAAGCACGTCCAATCTGCATGGAAATGGGCCGTGCTTCAACACGAAGCTCCATCCCAGAGACCAGGGATCCCAGCAGCACCGCTCACCCACGCCGAACGCTGCCAGCTTTACACCACGGCCAAAGCGACCGTGGGGAGGCAGAGCACAGCTCTGCTAAACGACCTTTCTTTAAAAACAGCAACAGCAACAACAAAAAAAACAAAATAAGGAAAGAGTTCGCCCCGCTCTTCTGTCAGCCTGTGTGTAAAGAGAGGAATTTAAAGCAGATGTTTCAAAATGGGGAAGACAATGGGAATATCAGCACTTGCAGAACAAATGCTGCCACCAGCAGTTAATAACTTGGGATGGCCGCCCCGGCACTGTGACCTTTATCCTCCAAAGCCATCAGGCATGTCCTTCAGCTAAATAAAGACATAATTCTATTATTCCCCCCTTCAGCTTTCATAAACGTTGCTGTCTCCATCGCCCGGGCTGTACACAGGAAGATGAAAGCAGTGCTGCTGCCCCTATTTAAGCATCCTCAGCAATAAACCACAGCTGAACAGAGACCTTGCAGAAAGTTTGTGTAAAGCAGTGAGCGCAGAGCCCCAGGTCACCAAATGCCCAAAGAAAAGGGCCCCGTTTCCTTCCATTTTCCTTCCATTCCATTTTATAAACCCCTCAGCAGAAGGATGCATGCATCACGCTATTTGGAAGTTCTCCTCGCAGTCCTGCAGCATCCTCTGGCAATTGAGAGCACCACGATGACTCCGGAAGAAAATAACCAATGGAACAAAGCAGAAAAGCCACATTTCCTTGGGGACACTGAGTTGGTGACGTAAAGGAACGGGGCCAGGAGGCTGAATGCAGCCTCACAGCTCTGAGCTGGGGCAGCAAATGACCAAATGAAGGTGTTGTGTTGGAGACGATCCACCTGAGGGCCAAGGTGTGTGGAGATGGACTCAACACCCATAACAGGACCACCATCCACGAGAATGAAGTCTCAATGATGTGTTACCACAGAGAACAAAGCTGTGATCTCAACTCTTAACAGAGGCACCCAGGGCCCACGGGCTCTGCTGGGAAGGTTCATCTCAGGGGATGTCAGCCACAGAGCAGCTCACAGAGCTTCACCATTTCATGGGAGAGCTCCAGAACCACAACGCCTTTACATTTGTTCCTACCGATCCAGAGACACTGATGTGACACGAAATACAAGCTGCCTTTTGCAGACCGTATCTTCTCCACGCTCTTTCAATCCCTCCCCCCAAAAATAAATAAAGGAAAATCGATGATCAATCCACTGAGCGTGGCATTGAAGTTACGGAACTACTGACCTGAAACATGGAAAGCCCAGCTGCACAGCACAGCCCTGCAAAGCTTCAGCCTGCACAGTGCTCTCCCAGCACACTGTGCCCAGCAGCAGGTAACTGAAGGAGGCATCGCAGCCATTGCTCAGACGAAAGCTTCATCTACATGAGCAAATATGCAACAGTTTTGCCTCAGTCCATTCAGCGATCTCTTGCATACTCCCATCCAAAAATATTTGGCAGGGAAGGAAGACAAACAAGGCAAGAACAAGCAATGCAGTGGGGAAAAGAGAACTCTTTTTTTTTTTTTTTGGAGATGCATCCACATGAATCAAAGGGGTTGTGATGGATCTAGCAACCGCGGTGTGCAACCGAAGCAAAGCAAACTTCATTCCTTTCCTGCCCTTCCTCTGAACATAAATTAAATTTTAATCAAACCATCTCTGCATTTAAAACACAGCATTAAAATCCCTCAAGAAACTTTTTTTTTTTTTTTTTTTTTAAGCCAGGCTAAAAACCAAAATGAACAAACGAAAAACCAAATCCAGAACTCAAAGTCCAACGCTCAGACTCCAAAGCCCATCAGGAACACGCAGGCAGGGCACAGCAGCTCAGCCAGCTCACACACAGCTCCCAAATGCTTCCCACTAGATGTTATTTTTCATTGTACCACACAACACATGCAGAAGATGGTTGTTCTGGGGTTCCAGAGCAAGGCAACCCCCCCCCAAGCACAGATATTATAACCAGCAAGACTGTAAACTAAAGGGAATGAAGAGTTGAGATGCTGACTTGAGCATCAGTGCATCTGAGATGCACCAACTGCAGGGATGCCCACAGAGCCCTCATCCTTCTTGTTCACTGTTTCCATTGAGGCAGACAAGCCGTGGCTTAAGCCAATCCAGCTCATGTGCCACTTGGAGAGCCCAGGGCTCTGGCTGTACTTTGTACTTCTGTGGGACACACATCAGGAGACAACCGTGGTGGAACATAACCCAAAAGTGCCAAATGGGGACTGGTTGGCTTAGCCAGACTTCTGTTTCAACTGGAAGGAAAACTAGGACTCTGCAGAAGACAACACAAGGCACACAGCTGTCGGTGGATGAGGACAGGATTGTGTCCAGGAACATCACTCATGGTGTCCACCACAGCTTTCTGGGAGCTGGACCATCGCTGCACTGGTTTGTTTCATCCAACTCAGGAGATGCTACCATCAGGTTATAAAGCCACCAGTGCACACAGCACAGAGCAGGGGGGCTGAATGCAGAGCAACGAATGGAGGAAAGGGCCAGGAAAGAGGCAAGAGGGCAGAGCTCAGGCAGCCTGACATGCTCTGTTCCTCCAGCATCGATGCATATCAAAGCAAAGCCCTTCACACAGCACATTACTGAACCATCCCACTGCCAACAGTCCATGCCCTTATGAAGAGGGGAGAGCTCCTTCCTCCTGGACCAGCCCTGCAGCACAGGGATGCCACGCAGAGAAGCAGGCTTGGCTTTGGCCTGGCATGACCTCGCAGAGCCTTCCACCACTACAGGCTTCCTTCTGTTTCTTCTGGCATCAGAACATGTGCTCCAACCAGATACTATTTTTAAAGTTAACTTTAAGGTTCAGGGGGGAAAAAAAAAAAAAATAAAAAATTAAGCAAAATCTATTTTTTAAGGTTAGTGTTGAGATGTTGCCAGGTCTGCATTTCAAATCTTGAAAAGAAAAATCAAATGATTTCAGAAGGATCATCCATTCAATCAGCTTGACGTCAGCTCCACCACGATTACTGCCGGGCCACCTTTTCCAAGGAAAATATTATGTTTTCAGTTCTAAAAGCATTAAAGGAAGTTTAAAAGCCAGAACCCCATACATCACTGTGCATGAATTTACCCAACCCAGGAGTCAGTAGTAGCTCAGTCACTTCCAGCAACAGCTTTTATTCATCTGCTCACAAAATCAGCTCAGCTACTTTGAAAACACAGGTCTTATGAAAGCTGAATTCCTCTGAAGATCAAAGGTGTTTGAGAGGTAAATCCCTCACCTAAAAACATCCTTATGAAATTAAGTCCCACCTTCCCACAAACACTGACTGTGCTCTTATATATGCGAGATTTCATCCAAGCTTCCCCTGTATCAAAGCATCTTGAGAGTGGCAGCCCTAGGAGGCATCTGCACCCTGTGCCATGCCTGTGCTCCTATTAAGGATTTCATGCCAACATCCCAACTTACACAGAGAAAGAGCTCAGCCAGAGTATCACAAAGTTCTTAATTACGTTTATGATAATTAACTCCATGGGCTTGCTTTCAGAATGCCTCCTTACGCCAAGTGTATTTTTGTACAGGGAAACCTCGTCTCCTTTTGTGCATAAATGGGATACAGCAATATCCCACCACCGCCCGAAACGGCAGACACGTCCTCACCCCAACTGGATCAGTGCTCCTTGGGAAGCTCAGCACGCAGCTCCTTGCCCCCACCCCACTGTGAGCCTTGCAGCACTCACAGCACAAACACTGGCACACATTTACAAAACAGATTCACAAAGAGCACGTGCATGTGGGGGCAAGTACTGCAACAAGAGAGCGAGGATGCCCGACTCTAACTTGTTAGCTTTCAGGTATGAGTGATCTTCTCAGATATTCTTAAAAAAAAAAAAATCACAGTATGCATACTTGCATTAATTAGCAGCCAGCGATTATACTAAAAGATGCCTGAAGAGATTGGCTCCTATCAGCACAACACACTGCATGACATGGGAACCACCAACTGCCCCAGTAACTTCTGAGCAGGACAGGAGCACCTCGCAGACATCAACTCCAGCAACCTGAGTTACTTACTGCCCTTTTTGCAGCAGGTTTGTAAAGAGCTGACAGCTCTTCCCCTTTCCTCAGGCAAGCTGATGGAGGAGGTCTTACTTTACAAAAACAGAAGTGATTCCTGAATAGAGCTGCTGGGGTCTTTGTTGCTTCTCAAGCATTAAAAGTTGGGAAAAGTTTACGGGTGAGTTGCCATTACACATCAAAGACATTGGCCTTCCCAGCAGCACCCCTCCTCCCAATAACTCCCTCGCAGTTGATAAGAATCTCGTGTTTTCAGTTTCACATCTCAAATCTGCACTGCTGTAATACCTCACATCCAAGCAGATGCAGATTCATACCCTGAGAACTGTTTAACCCATTTTGCACGCAGGCAAGTCCCATTCCTTACAGTTCCAATGGAACTGGGAATAAACGAGGCTCCTGACTTCCTGCTCATCACACTTCATCTTACTGCAGCATAAAGCAAGCAAGGTCTTCGTGGAGACCAAGCTTTTATCCTGCAATGGACAGAAGCTGGGCTGGATACAGCAGAAGATTTGGAATCTGGCTGTAAGGTGATGCCCCTCCATCAGGAACGCTTGATTCACCTGCGTACCACAAGTACAGGTCAAAGGGAACATCCTGTGCCAAAGCAATGAGCAACTCTGAATTCGTGCTTTGAGATGTCAGCGTTCAGACGTGGAAGGGATGTTGGTGTTTCAGGAAAGCACCAAGAACCCGTGCTACACAGAACTGCTGCAGAAGGGTGCCATCATTTCACAGCAACTCCCAGTGTCAAAATCCACCCTTTACTATAAGAAGAAACTCTCACTTATCCATACACGCTGCTCTGTCAGGAGGAATCAAGCCGCAATTCAAACTCCTCTGTTTGGGCAATTACCACCTATTATTTTTCATATATCAGAGCTCAATTAATACGATCCTCTAAATCTCAACCAGTAGCTCAAAGTGCATCCTCCTTACAGCTTGTATGTTCTTCTGTTCAGGACAATGCTTCTTTACTCAGCTGCTTGTCACAGCTGCCTGAGCTCACGGAAGACACAGCACCAGCACTGCATAGGAGCAGCTGGATGCCACAGCAGGAGCCAGACCTGCAGTTTGCCCTGCAGATTTGGGCTCCTGCTACCCTTAAGGCACAGGGAGCTCCTTCCCAGTGCCAGCCAAGCACGTCTCCCCACGCAGGTCCCCTCCCCTCTCACCTTTTGGAAGTACTCATGTCCACGGGCTCGTCTCCCGTCTGAACCTCCACTTTAATGGTTGCTTTCACCTCTCCGCTTTTTAACAGTCCTTGCACTTTTCCAGCTCCAGGATCCGTTTTTATTTTCATGTCTCCTTCAGCACTTATTTCAGTTCCTAACAGTCCTTTCTCCATTTTTAGTTTCTTGCTGTCCACATCGTTATGTGGTACCTCACGTTCTAAGGCTCGTTTCTGACTTCGTGTCCTGCATGCTTCCTCTGTCATTGTGAGGCTCTGGGGAGAGAGGAGACACAAACGAGTTAAATGCTTGGCAAAAAGTAAGTTGGACAAAACACCTTCATTTCAAAACAGGGCAAAGTACGGCGCTCGCTGCGAAAGAAGAAGTTCTGAAAGAGCAATAAAAGTTTTGCTCGTACGCTCGCCTGCCCTATCTGCAGCACACATCTCAGACTGAAGCACCCAGCATCACCCTGCTTGTGATTCTGATGTGAAGCGAAAACAAACAGAAAAGGCAAAACAAGAAAACAGGCTCAAACCCCTCCGACTATCAACTAGAAGCAGGAACTGTAATAACAGCAGCAGGAGGCTGCAGCGGGGAACACGCAAACCCCCACCACTGAGAAAGTTTGGAGCTCTCCCAAGAAGCAGGAAGAAGAACGTATGGATTTGCCTGACATGCAAATAAGCGTAAATTACAAAATTGGAGATTAGGATCGGGCTGGGAGAGCTGCCACGTCTCTGCCAGGACCCAAACCCAGCTGCGGGCTTCGGGACCACCGCGCTCTGCACGGAGAGCCCTCCGTGCTCCTGCACAACCACGGCCCCTCCTGGGAGGAGAGCAGGGCCGGGCGGGGGGCAGAGCTCGCAGCATGGCAGCGGGTACCTGCGACACCCCTCGGACGCGGAGCTGAGTCAGGCTTTGATCCCATGACATCACTGGGCTCCACATGACCCTTCCCAGGATGCAGCCTGCGAGACAAAGCACTTTCCAGAAACCAGTCTGAGCCGGCAGCAGGCGACCCGCAGCAGGGCTAACCCCAGCGCCCGCAGCATCCCTGCCGCTCCTCCTCCTCCTCCTCTTCCTCCGCCCGCAACGCCGGCCGCCCGCCCGGGGCTGGCACAGGGCGGGAAGAGCCCTCCCTTCCCTTTCCAATTAATTAATTAAGAGTCCCTCCCATCACAGTCCCCCCCCCTCCTTTTAAACTGGATTTCAAGAGCCAGGCCGACGCACAATAGTTGGACCAAGTCTTTCCAATGTTTTTAGCAGCGAGATTAACATAATTACACAACGTAATTAACCTCTGCTCACTCCCCCCCCCCCCCCCCCCCCCCCCCCCCCCCCCCCCCCCCCCCCCCCCTCCCCCCCCCCCCCCCCCACCCCCTATTATCCACCAGTGTCACCCGAGAGCTCCGTGAAACCGCAGTTTGGATGCTCTGAGCCCCGCATGGTGACCGCAGGTTTCTCTGCCTGCTGTTATACAAAGAACTTGGTTTTATTTTAAGGGACAGCTGCAGTCAGCACACAGCTCTGCTCAGCCCATTGCTGCTGGACTCAGAGCTGGGCAGGAAGGTGTCTGTGTGTCTGTGTGTGCGTTGGGCTGAGCTCAGTGCCCAGCAGCAGCTCACATCCAGCTCCAGCCATGGGCAGCCCAGCAGACAGCAAGGCTGCCCCTCACCCCAACAACCCGGGCAGGAATTGCAGATCTCACTGCTGTTCACTGAGTGCAGATGTACCTGAAGCCAGAGCTGCATCCAAAGGCCAGCAGGCAGCTCATGGACACGGGGGTTTGGTGTTGTCACAGAGCTGTTCCTGCAGCAGGGCTGCTCGGTTGGGTGCAAAACCTCCTCGAGAAGATAAGAAGCAAAACCAAGCAAATCCGGGTTCACTTCCAGCACCTGTACATCCCCCAGTCCTGCAGGAGAAGCACAGCTCCAGCAGTTGGTGCTGATCTGGCACTGGTCAGTGCCTCCATGCCCCAGGAAAGCGGGCCCCACATTTTAGGAGTGTTTATAAGATGCTGTAATTTCTCTTCCTTTATTACCCCCATTTTTGACTGAGATGGGGAATTTCAAGCTATACTGAAGGACTCCATCTCTACAGCATGCCACAGGTCTAAATCCTGCACGCACAGTGATATTTAACAATAACACACCATCAAAGACGGAAAAACAGGTAACGAACCACAACCCCACGTTACACACCCATGTTCACAGCAGCTCAGCTGTGCACAGTGGGGCAGAGCCCCAGAGCCCACTCAGCATCCCTGGGGTGAGCCCTGCCAACAGCACAGGCTGCACGCACACACGCACCTTCCCAGCACACCCATCCTGCTGTAGGCTCCCTAGGACAGCACACAGCAGCAGGGAGCCTTTCCATTTTGCAATGGCAACGGGAAGGCAGCAACGTGGGACAGCAATTGTTAGGGAGATACGCTGGGATTGCATCTCCACCAGCTGATTCTGCTGGCTGGGCACAGATCAGCAGCTCAGAACACCCAGGCTCTGTGAAGGATAACACATCACTTTGGAAGCCAGCCCCAAATCCCCACTTTTCCTCCCCCAGCTTTCACAGGCACCGAACACACCGGGGGCAGACAGCATTGACTCCACCTTCCATTCTACAGGAGGAAGGGTAAGAAAGCATTATGCAGTAAATTTCAAGTTTTTATGGGAGGTTCCGCTCTTTATTACAGCAAATAGCGCAGCTCGGAGCGCAGCGCTCAGGACTTCAGCAGCCAATTCTCAGCTTTAAGTGCTATTGCTGTAACAGATTAACTCCTACCAACAATTCAAAGGCAGTTTAGCATACAATGCTTTGCCCCAAAGCCCTCCACGCTGCTCCACTGCCCTGTGAGCACAATGCCAGCAGCCAAAGCCCAAACCTGTGCTGAGCTCACGGCTGGGGAAGCACCACGCATGGCAGTGCCCATGGCTGCCACCTGCTCAACTGCTGGAAAAGCTACAGAACAGGAAAAAGGAAAGGTCCAGTTTGAGATGTGGGGAATTAATTGCTTTGTGCCAGTTTTTCCTGATGTTCAGCATGGCTCAAACCAAGCCAGGCAGCCCCAGCGTGGCACCAGTGGTACTCGGTTCTTACAACAAAGTGATGGGAAACAGAGAGCTGAAGTGAGGAGGACACCTGAGGCTTTGCTGGAGCCCCAGCAGCAGCAAAAGGAGCAGCACTGAGCAACCCTGCTCTGCAGCACTATTTCAGCAGCCAAAACCAAAGAGCAGCAGCCCTCCTGCCCAGCATCAAAAGTGAAAGGGAAAACAACAAAAAAAAGGGCAAGGTTACAGAAGAGGAAAGGGAAGGTGAGGGCACGTGCAAGCCAATACCCCTGGGTGAGCAGCAGCCAGAGGTGGCTCCAGCTATTTTCCAAGTGCAGCTGATCAGAGCCCAGAGATGCTTCAGGATGTGCTCCGTGCTGCAGCTGAGCTCTGGTCCTTGGTGTGCCATAGGTGCTGCGTGGCTTTTTTGTTTGTCTTTTTCCTATACACTCACTGAGAAAGAAGGCAGAAGCGAGAGCTCCTGGGAAAAGTTCTGTTCCCTGCATGTAGCACTGTGTGAAGGCGCATTCAGACCTGCATGCCTACACATGCACACGCAGGAGTTCACGACCTGGCTGTATAAATCCCAAAAAAAAAAAAAAAAAAAAAAAAAAGTAGATTTCAAGAATCCTAATCAAGGTCTGGACGATCGTTAGGATTTTTTTTTTCTTTTTCTTTTTTTTTTTTTTTGCAAAGAATGAATGAATGCAGGATAAACACAGCAGGCTGACAGAAGTGAGAGCTCCAACACCTGCCCTCACCTGGGCTCCCCTGCCGCCCCAGGGCTGCGCTCCCCACAGCAGCACCCCGAAGCAGTGGGGCGGGGGGGGCAGCGGGTGCCCTGCTGCCAGCCCACCAAGGGTTAAGCCCTGCCATTTTGGTGCCATTCACCGATATGTCCATTAAGGGTGTTACATAACAAAATGGCAGCCCTTAACCCTTTCCTCGCCGGCTGCCACGCTGCCGTGCTGCACGCCGACCGGCGGCACTCCCAGGCGTGGCGGCCCCGACCCCGCCGTGCATCAATGGGATCGTTTCCCCTCGCCGGGAGCGTGCAGGGGAAGATAAGCAGCCTCACTCAGCGCTGCTGGTAGAAGCTGAAAGCTCACAGAAGTTTCCTCTGTGCCAGGGCACGAGGCACGGTGAAAGAAACAGCGGTGAGCGCGGGGACGGCGGCACAGCAGTGGGTCCATGGTGGGAAGCAACCCAGGGCTGCAGCCTGGTGCTGCACAACAGCCGAGCACCACGCAGCACTGTGACAGCAGCAGCAGCCACGTGGCAGCGCCCAGCACCCGCAGGTCCCACTGCCAGCCCACCAGCACAGCGCTGTGCCCATAGCACTACAGGATGCCACAGCACTACAGGAGGGGGGCATCAGTCTGAGTGTGAGTGCCGAGGCTCCCAGCACCGTGAGCAGAAAGCTCTGCTCTCAGCCAGGCAGGAGAGCAGAGGTCCCATAGCACATGAAGGCACTGCTCTGCTTTGCTCTGCTTTTGTGTCAATGCACCTTAAGAGAAATCACTATTTATGGCACAGCTCGGCTCCGTTCGCTCACAATAACGATGAGAGCACGGGATTCTGAGCACTCCATGCACCACAGCAGTCACAATTCCTAACAAAGCCCCGTGTGCCACAGCTGACAGCAAACAGAGCTGCATGGATGTGGAACGGCCACGGCCTGAGAGGTCAAACTGATCTGCTGGCATTTGGTGAGGACCTCCAAGAAGCACTCAGTGCCAAAGTGATCTTAGAAATTAGTGCTTCTTTGTTTTAAATGCATGACCACACCTGTGCTGCTCTTCCTTGTGCTGCTGCTCTTCCCCCAGAGCAGGGACTCACATCACTACATCCAATGGCAGCAGCACACAGCCCGACCTCACCTCCCCAGCCCCATCAGCCCTCACAGATAAAAGCTGATGACTGAAAACCGTTCATCAAGCATTTATTTTCACTCAAAAGTAAGACCTACCACCCATCCACCCGGCGTTCAGCCAGCATTAGCTACCAATACAGCCTCAGTCCACCCACAGGGGGGATAAGCAAAACTGGACACAAAGGACAGCACGAAGAGGAAGACCTGGGCAATGCTGGGAGTTTTCTTATTCTCCACTTACTCACCCCCTTCTTCAATAAATGGCTTTAGAGTTGCACCAGTGTTAAGGCCACGGCTGGGGTTCACAGCGTGCACTCAGAGGGTGCTGCCCACAGACACTGCATGAGGGATTTTGCTTGACCTGAATTCTCCCCCAAGTTTTATGGATCTATTTTTGTCTAGAAACCACCGGGCAGGAAGTCTGCTAATGACTGTGTCTGGGCTTTGTATTACCAAAAAAAAAAAAGTTACCAAGATTCCTCAGAGCAAAACAGCAGTTAAGTACAAGTCTTGATTGGGGCTCAGAAGGGCAGCGTTCAGGCAATGAGCTGAACCAGGAGACAGCACTCATGTGCACATCTCTGCAGCTTCGGAGCTGCACGGTGGGCGCTCGGAGGTTGATTACTCACTGATCAAGAGAGCAGATTAAGAAGTTTCCACAACTGTGGTCAACACGTCGAAGCGTGGCAGCGATGCAGTGACTCTCACTGCTGCTCCCACTCCTCCGCTGCCAGCTGATGTCACATAGAGGGTGCTGGTGTGACATCACTTGGCCCTTCCCTTGAAGGTGGTTCTGTTCTGCACAAACCTGGGCTCAGCTAAGAAGCTGACGATGGCACAAACCACAGAACAACAGATCAGTACATCCATGAGCAGTGGCACCAACACCTCCTCTGGAGGAGGAACATCAGAAGTGAAGAGCAGGAATGCTTCACACAGATCATCAGAAGGGGAAAAAAACCACCACAAAACAGCCATTGGACAAATCCTGAGATTATTAATTAATGGCTCATTTGACAATCCATTGAGAGGTGAGCACCACCAGCACAGGACAGCCATTCCTAAGGGCTTTCCAATGCAGAGCTTCACATACACCACTGCAGAGCCATAGGGCAGCCACAGAAATCTCATTTCCATTCACCACTTCACTTCTGGGGGTTGCACAAACGATCGAGATCTACACAGGTCTCAAGGGAGGAATTTCTGTGCGCTTGCTATTGCCTCTCCTCTTGTTCAAGACCGAAAATACTCTGCAGCTGTTGTGAATGCCCAGCTAAAAGGAAGCGAAACTCCTCTGTCTGCCCATCAGTAAACTACGGAGACGTACAAATTTTGGAGTTAAATGTTAAGTGAAAGGCGACTTCTGGTTAAGGCAGAACCTGAGTTCAATACCCAAGCTCTGCTACAGCCAGCTGAGGCAGCAGAACCACCCGAAACCAATGACAACCCCACCCCCAGTGCCATCCCCTCCCCAGTCCTACCTGTCAGTGAGGTTCATGGGTCCCACGGGGGGTCCTGTCTGCACCAAGTGGCTGAAAGTGACGGCAGTGCAGGTCCTGCAGGAAAAGACAGGGAGGTGAGCATGCCTTTGGTCCACGTAGAGATAAGCCCACTGCCTTCAGCTGGCATGCGCTCACTGAGACAGCGACCCTAAAACCATGGGAAGGGCAGAGACTCCATCCTCTGATTTGAGCTGGGAAGGAATTGAAGTCAGGGTTTGAATGCTTTCGGATCAACACACAAACTCACACACCAGCCCCATTCAGCAATCAGTGATTGTGTTTGCATGTGAAGGACACCCAAGTGTGTCCTCGTGCCCAGATGGATGCTGGCTAAACCCCAGCAGCGTTCTGATGGGAGCCCAGCATTGTGCAGCCCCACATTGCTCCTGGGGGCACCTGAGAACATGCCCACAGCCCTTCAGGAGCTTCCATGAAGCCCACATCATGCAGAGAGTAGGGGGAAATCACTTCAACTACAGGTGTGTAACATTCATTCTGATGGATGAAGCTCACACGTTTATCTGCTTTTTGCTCCACACCACGTTCTGCTGACCCACACTTGCTCACACTCCACAAAAACCCTTTTATGACCCAGCACACACAGCACAACATCCCCACCTTCCTCTTCCCACTCTCTGAAAACACCAAGAGAAGAAAGAGGGAGCCTGGGCACACCAGTCAGTGAGATAACACCATCAAACCAACCCATGTGGCCACACACCTGACGGGCAACGAGCCTACATGGCACTGCTGCTGGTCCAGAGTGACAACCAGGACCACAGCACCAACCCAGCAGCGAGCCCTGTGCTGGGGCACAGCAATGGATGTGTTACAGCTGCCAAGCATCTTCTTGGAAGCTCAGCCTCTCCTTTCTGCTAAGCTACCAAGAGCTCCGAGCACTCATTTCCCTCCTCCTAAAGTTTTTTTGGAGCTGGTTTCTGTGGTTTGCAGGCAGGACAGCAGCTCACCACCTCCTGTTCTCCAGACTGGGGGTGCTGGGGGATGCTGTGCCTCTGCCCCGTGCCTCTGCCTGCTGTGCAGCTCAGAGCATCCAAAGACGTTCCAGTGGATTAAACAAATTGCTCCAAAATTGCAGATAGAGGAACTTAATGAATGGATATGCAACTGTGTTCTGGGTCTTGATTAGCTATCTAGAGGGCAGGTCTTGCTAATTATAGCTCATCCTATTAGTTCAATGCTTTTCTAATTAGTAGCCCATTGAAAACCATCACTACAGCTACTTCAGGGCCTTCGTGAGGATCCAGCAGTGCTGTGAGCAGCAGCCACGCTGTGGTGCATCCACACCTGGTTGGGATGCACCAAAGCCTCCAAAAAGCCATTACAAGCGATGAGCTCCTGTGTTAATTAGTAGCTGCAGCACTGCTGCAGCGAGCAGGGAGCTGCAAGTTGGGACACTGCTGGGAAAAAGGAGGGGGGAAAAAAAGAAAAGATTTTGGAGGAGCAAGAAGGAATCACTCCTTCCATCGTGCTCTGGACATGGGAAGTCTGAGCTGAGTCGGGCTGCTGGGGCTCCTGCCTGCCTCCATTTTTAACAAACTGTAGCATTAAACTCCCATCGTGCTCCTGTCATGGGACTAAAATAGTTTTCATCTTACGAGGACACGAGGAGCTGTTTAACTGCTTCCCTGCTACGGGATGCTGCAGCTCTGCCCTGCAGTGACGGAGCTCCGAGCCCACAGCTCCAGCCCAGCATCCCCACAGCACTAAGGGAAAAGGGCTGAGATGCTTTGGAGGAGCTCTTGGTAAAGCACCACCGCAGGGATTCTCGTGGGAAGTGGGCACTTAAGCAGTTAACACTGGGAAGTGAAACTCGGCCGGAGCAGCCCTGGCTTTGACAAGTCCCAGCAGAAGGCAGAGGCTGGAGCCGTGCAGCCACGTGTCCCAGTGCCACCAGCACCAAACTGCTGGGAAACCCAGCCCGTGGTCCCCAGGCTCTGGGATAGCATCCTTCCCCTGACAGAGCTCAGCTCAGGTTGCTGGGAGCCCACGCTGGCACCTGGTGAAGGGTTTCCTTCTACAAAACAATGACAAAAGTTGTAGATCAGAACAGGGGCATTTCAATTTTAGTGATGTTGTTGAATCCCACCAACACTACTTGGAAAAGCAACAGGTTGGTAAAATTATCATAGAATGGCCTGGGTTGAAAAGGAGCACAATGCTCATCCTGTTCCAACCCCCTGCTGTGTGCAGGGTCACCAACCACCAGAGCCACATCCAGCCTGGCCTTGAATGCCTGCAGGGCTGGGGCATCCACAGCCTCCTTGGGCAAGAATCCCCATACCAAGCAAGGTTTTAAAGATATGATATTTTGAGAACAGGCTCCAGATTCTCTAAGATGAAGGCATTGAAGCTGTGACACGGGTACACAGAGCACACTGCTCCGTGTGTGGCTCCTCAAACAAGTGATAAGAAAACCCTGCGCTTTTTGGAAGGCTGAGCAAAGCTGTCAGCACCAAAAGGAGTCACATTTCAATCTAAATATTGACACACCAGGGGTTGGCTTGTGCCTCGTACTCAGGTGTGCTTCCACCAGTGCTTCTGAATACAAGAGTGAAGTCTTCCAAGCGTTGCTCCAAAAAGAGAACTCAAAGGCATATGAAAGCAGCAAGCCAGCTTCTTTAGCACCAGAACTTCAGCTTGCATAAGAATTGTGGAGGTGCCAACCCTCCTGCTCCTGGCCCGTGTTGGTACCCCACCAAATGGCTGGGAATTGCTGCCTGATTCCTGCATGCCCACAGATCAGGAAGGCTGCAGCTCAGCCCCACTCTCCCAGCTCAGCCCCTCCACTCAGTGCCGCCCCACAGGAAGGCAAAGAGCCCTTTCAGGTGCTCATTAACACCACTGCCACCTGTTTATTGCATACCAGGCTGATAGCTGATCAGATCTGTTACAAACTGAGAGCCTCTTTCACTCACTCCCAAATTCCTGAGCAGAGATGAACATGCAGCCATCAACGGTGCTCCTAATTACCCCTCTGGATCAATGCCTGTGCTGGGGCAGGAACGTGGAGCTGGGAGATGGGCACAGAGGGAACGGTACCCATGGGCAGCAGCTGCTCCAGCACATCCATCCTTCAGAGCACACTCGTTTTCCAGCATTCCCTTACAGATGCCAAGAGCCACCAAGTGCCGTGGCAGTGCATGCAGGGTCCTTCCTCCAGAGCACACAGCCTTCTGGTATCAAGGTATCAAGCTTGCCAAGCTGAGCCTTTTGATATCACTGGTATCACCCGATCTCTTGCAACCAAAAGTTGGTTTTCAGACCGAAGTACAAACGTGTTTTGACTTCTCTTTCCCATGCTGGTACACCTCAGTGGTCATCACCGTGCCATGCTCTGCCCTCCTCCCCAACCAGCCCCGTCTGATCCGAGCCACCTCTGCCTTCTAGCTGTGATGTGTGCCATGCTGGTGGCAGAGGAGGGGGTGCCTCTTCTCTATGCACTGCGTGGAATGGTTTGCCAGAAAATTAAAGAGTGGAAATGGGATGTGAAGGCATCACCTCGCTCACTCAGTGCCCAGCAGCCCCAAGGATGGAGAAGGCAGAACAGCACCAGGCATCGGCCGAAGCACAGCCACCATCCTCTGCTGCACAGCACAGCATTCCTCTTCTCTGGGTTAATTCCATTTGTGTCCACCTGGCTTCATTCAGCATCACTCCTGGAGGTGTTGCAGGATTTTTTTCCTTTTTTTTTTTTTTTTTCCCCCTTTTGGAGCTCAAGGTATCGTCCTCCACTAACGGCACGCTCTTCATCTCAGTGGTAGGAATGCATTAATAACCCATAAGCTAATAATTTTGTCGCAGCAATCTTCGCTTCCCTGCCTGTATTATTTAAAAGCCAAGCCGAGGGTGTGCGTGGAGCATGACACTGCTCAGCAATCCAAATAAGGGAACGAAATGGCAGCTTGGCAGGAGCCCAGCAGCCACACCTATTGACAGGGGAAGCAGCACAGCCACCCCGGTCATTACAGCAGGAGCTCCGTGCACAGCAGCACCCACCTGTGGTCTGACGTCCCACCATGGGGCTGTGGGGGGCTTCAGGGGGCACGCTCAGACCCCAAACCCACAGCCACAGGAAGCAGAGCTGTCACTGTGCCCATGGGACCCGGGGGCTGCGCTGAGCAGCAAACCATCTGGGTGCTGTGAAGCAACACATGCAGAAAGCAAACAGGAGATGCACGAGATCAGAGTGAGATGCTGTGATTCCACTCCTTGGTGCGACTTCCACAAAAACAGGAGGGTAGAGAGCAACCAGAGGTGTGACAGCTGCAAGGAGCACTTTGCAAAGGGAGTACTCTTATGTGTCTGTCAGCCTCCTAAGGGATAAACAGCATGCAATATTAAAAAGGAGTCATCTTTAGCTACTTCTATAACCTCCACCATCATCACAATTCTCAGGCACCAGTGACCAAGCAGCCCTCCAGCTGCCTTTGTTCCCTAAACCACTTCTACCACTTAAGTTCTGGCCATTATTAAGCCATTGTCTCTGCGTTTAAACCGGTTTTGGTCCGACAAACTGAAATGAATCCATCCCTCTCCGGACAGCCTTGCTCAAGGAAGCAGCAGCAGAATCATTTCAAATACATTTAATACAAATGGATGAAACAAATGGATGCAGCTGCCATCCAGAAGGACACTCCCTGACCTCACTGTGCTGTCACAAAGCTCAGGATGTCAGCCTAAAGATGCAAGTTTACCTCCTTCAGGATTTAAGAGAATTTTAGAGCCACGAAACACTCCATGCATCCATTGAGGAGTGATGTGTGCTCCTCCCCAGCACAGGCACGGCCCAGAGATGACAGCTGCTGCCCTCAGAACTGCTCAGCACAACCCGGGCACCTCCCACAGACATCAATGAAAGCAACAAGTTCTGCTCTCAAGCACTCAAAACACAGAAGTTGCCAACCAAAAGGATGGCTTCCCGGCTG